ATATATATATATATGACTTTTTTATTCAATTCACATTTTCACACTACTTTGTCCCACCCCGCAAAACTTTGCCTCTCTCTCTGGAATAATTTCTATGGATGCCCATGCTTGTGTTGTTATTTTGGTGTTAGATCTAGTGCAATTTTTTTCCGTGAGTTTCAGAGCAATAACAGTAAAACTTTCATGGTTGCTCTTAACCTAGAATGTTAACTAGATTGCTTAAAATTGACTTCAATGTGTATTTCTTCAAGTGACTTAAATGATTATATAAACTGAGTCCTTTTCACTGTACAATTAATATGTCATTGTGAAATTGAAGTAGTTCTTTAAATTTTTAAATAGCATGATTTCACCACTGTTACAAAAAAAAGTTAAAATTAAGAATATAAGGTATTGATTTAAGTGTTATCAGCAAAAAAAAGTTAAAATTAAGAATATAAGGTATTGATTTAAGGGTTATCAGCAAAAAAAAAGTTAAAATTAAGAATATAAGGTATTGATTTAAGGGTTATCAGAAAACAGATGCAGTTCAAAGTAACTCAGTGTATAATATATGGGAATCAGTTTATTTTCATTGTAAGATTATATCACACTTATTGAATTTATCTCTCTCTGTTTTTCTGTAGATTCAACCAGAATTATGGAGTTCTAGGAGTCTTGGATCGGCTGCATGGGACAGACATTCACTTCCGTAACAGTAGAATCTATGAACGCCATATCATGCTTCTCAGCTTGGTCCCCCTTAAGCAGCTGTATCCCGACAATACTAAACAGAAAGCATCTTAAACATGTAACTGGCTTGTGTTATTTTGTTATAAATGTATTTGATATTATAGTTTTGTTTTATAATAATTGCAAGGGGCTGCTAGGATGGCTTATTAGAATTATTTTTTCTTAATAGAAAGTTTGTTTTATGCTAAGCTTTACTTGTTAAATTGTTTAGCATGGTTATTTGATGTGTTTTGTTCCTTTCATGTATTTCTAGTTCCACAGCAAAATCTGCTTTTACATGACATAAAGTAGTTTGTGCTTATGACCAGTTAATAACATTTAAATATCTAGTGTTTAGAAGTGAGGTAATTATTCCAGACAACAACTTAGAAATATATTAAGGCTTTCCATACATGTTTTAAATGTTTTGATAGGTGTGAAATACAAAATCATGTTTTTTCAAAATGCTACATAAAATTGTTGGATAAAGGATGATAAAGAATATATTGATACGTGTAAATTAGAACATTTTCTAGTTTATTTTATGCAATGTTTTGAGCAGATGCCCTTTGTCAGGAAATAAAGAATGTGTTACAGTGGAATTGGGCCTAATTGGTTACTTTCAGAGGAAATCTTTATTAGTTACTTCTAGAGGGAATCTTTATTGGTTACTTCCATAAGGAATCTTTATTGGTTACTTCCATAGGGAATCTTTATTGGTTACTTCCATAGGGAATCTTTATTGGTTACTTCCATAGGGAATCTTTATTGGTTACTTCCATAAGGAATCTTTATTGGTTACTTCCATAGGGAATCTTTATTGGTTACTTCCATAGGGAATCTTTATTGGTTACTTCCATAGGGAATCTTTACTGGTTACTTTCAGAGGAAATCTTTATTGGTTACTTCGAGAGGAAATCTTTATTGGTTACTTCCATAGGGAATCTTTATTGGTTACTTCCATAGGGAATCTTAATTGGTTACTTCCATAGGGAATCTTAATTGGTTACTTCCATAAGGAATCTTTATTGGTTACTTTCATAGGGAATCTTTATTGTTTTTTTCCAGAGGGAATCTTTATTGGTTATTTTCAGAGGGAATCTTTATTGGTTTCTTTCAGAGGGATTCTTTATTGGATACTTTCAGATGAAACCTTATTTTTTTGTTGTTTTTTTGCTAGCATTGTATGTGCATGAACTGAAATGCAACTTGGTTTTTTAATTTATCTGTATGCATTTAGCAACAACATTTGCCTGGCTTCTGCTTTCTTTTTATGTGAGTTATGCATGAGAAGTGTATATCCTCCAGATGAATAAGCAAGTGTATGCTGGTCCTAAAATAGGCTTCCCAAAAATGCTCTACTTTTATGTAATAAATCCTGTTTTGGTTTGAAATAGAATAACACTGAAATGTTTTAATATTTGAGCCACAAATTGGAATTATTCTTTGCCTGATGGTTATTATTTTTGTATTTTAGGACAGAAGAATTAATATAATGTCTTTAATATATATGTCAAGGAAATTCCAATTTTTTTAAATTTTTTTTTGCAAATCTAAAAACTGTACCATCTTGTTGACACACATGTCAATGATAAGCTTACTTTAATAGGTCTACAAGTTGTTCCTCTTGTAAGGAGGTTTTGTGTGTTAACAATAAAATTTCTTGATTACTTTGAAAACCTTGATTTTTTCGTCAGACTTTTTTGTGTTTTAAGAAAAACGTTACATGGACATATATTTATTGTCTTCAGTCTGTGAAAAAGAAAGAAATATGAGCAGTTTAATAACCATGTAAACTTATCAACAATTTGTCTATGTTAACAACGCTACAACAAGAGTAGTATCCAATGTGTATCAAAGTTTTCTCTCTCTTTTAGTTTCTTAATAAAAGCTACTTCTTTAATATTTAATGTTCACTAGGAATTACAAATAAACTGCCACCAAACAGTGAGATCCTCCTGGTTTATTGAATTTCCTGATCCTGTGGGAGTTGAAATCATTTCTGTCATAACAACGACAAGCCATACAATAGAAGACTCAACTAGTGGATGGATGTGAATACTGTACGGTGTGTGTGCCACCCAGAGAAAAAACTGGTTTAGACAGGATGAACTCCAGCATGTAATTACTGGTTCTCCTCAACAGAGAATAGCCCTGGATCTCGCTGGTCTACTGCTGCAGATGGAACGTGGTCACCATTATATGCTATGCTCATGTTTGGCCAAGAAGTTTTGCTCCCTGTAGATGCGATTGCATGGTCCTCCACATAGAGTGTGTCATTGCTTAACATTGAAAATTCAAGATATGAATTTTCTTTGATATAAAATCTATATAAACACTTATATTTGACAGATTTGGTTATACTTATTTAAGTTCTGACAAACCATGCTTTCCAAGCTATCGAGTGATTCTCCTGGGGCAAAATGGTGGAGCCGATTTGTGCAAATCATGCACCTGATGTAGCTGAGTAATGGTAACTTTAGTACATCTGAAGAGTGTATAACTTTTCTACATGCTATGTTTCATTAGATTCTATAATGATATATAGTGTAGTAACAGCACGAATATTATTTAGCTTAATTCTGTTGGTGGTTATTTATTTTAGGATTCCTAAAAAGGAAGATGTGTCGAGTTTGATGGCTTATAGACACACTTTGATAGATAGTGGTTACAAAGTAGTAGCTGTACAAACTAACCAGAGATGTCATGAAGTAATTTGTGAGGGATCGGAGGCAGTCTATTGTAAGCTGTTAGTGTATGGGACAACGTGTAAGGAAGCTGTTTGCGTGTGGCAATAAATGTGTATAAATAAATGTGCATTTACGAGCATTACATAACATTTAACAACAAAATGGGTCATTTTCGCAAAGAACCCAACTATCAAGCCACGAAGAAATGAAAATAAAGTATTTGATCTGGATGATAAAACTATCATCCTCATTTGTAATGTTATTATTTGAAGGTACAATTTACCTTTTGCAGTTTCACCTTCTCATGTTATACAGTTTGTAAGACATTACTTGCCGAACTGCAAAACATTTCTTTATAATCACCCTGTATTTAGTAAAGCACACAGTTTTCTAAATATTTTATTAGTATTATATTAGTACAAGGTGCATAAAAATTCAGGTTGTGGGTGTACTAGAGGAAGCAGAAAGTAACACCCACATGACAAACGTTGCACAAAAGCTAGTACTAAACTTTTAATTCGAAGAAGATTCCAAAGGAGAGATGATGTAGGTGTTAGTGAATTCTAGTGGTCAGAAGTTTAGGTTGCCATTGCTTACCAAAGTCGGGCTCATGTGTAGGATCCAGTTCTGCGATCTTGACCCAACTTCTTTTCCCATGGAGCTGTGTGCTGTTTATGTAAAAAAACAGATGGTAGTGAAAGGGATGAATCAGGGTCGATGGGTAGACATATTGGTTTTTATCATGGCTAATAAATTATCGGTCAAGTAAAGACCAATGAAGCTTGTGAGCTGAGAAGTTAATGGTTGCTAGAGGTACATGTGGTATAGTTGATTAGAACATGAGCAAATTTGAACCCCCATACAAGTGTTGCTTGACCAAGGTAATCCTTTGGTAACTCTTCCTTCTGACCAATTGAAATTCATCCAACCTTCCATTTTCAATCCAAACTTTTACTATTTATGACAGAGTTCATGGCTATTTTGACTATCCTGTTTTTCAACTAGCCAGTAATGTTTCATTCCATAGTGTGCTGATGCCTTAGTGTATAATCTTGGATTGAACAACAGCATGCCTAGCACTTCCTGTTTGACAAGGAACTGGACTTACTCACTGACCTGAAGATGCATGTAGTCACCCTGATTTTTTACCTGATAGAACCTAGGAATGAAGATACATTACTGAATGATGCATTGAATAATATTGGGACTTTGCCAAGTCAGTTGTCAGACTTAGTCTAATGTCTCTGGAGGCTGAGCATCCCCAATTGGGAGGAAGTTCAATCCTCAAGAATCCTAGCCCTCATTAGAAAAAGTGATAGAGCTCATTGTGTATCAGCCAGCACCACCTCTACACTGGTTAAGCCTAGTCACAGCTGCTGACTGCCAAACATTGGTAGCTAAGAAGGAAGAATGGTTACATCTTGGCACTGGGAACGTCTCCTTATGTGACCTGTTAGGGGATGTTTGTCAACAATGAGGCAAAGATATTAAATGTGCACCTATCTCTTTCAGAACCACTTTATCCCAAAAATGAGGAAAACCTTCCAGAAGTTAAGATTGCCTCAAGGGGCAGCCAAACTACAGGGAAATAAAAAGCTTGTTCAGCACCACTACTAAGGACCAAAACCAGCTGGCTAAAAAGGTCTCACTGCCTTTGCCAACACCACTACTATCAATGACAGGTAGAGCCTTCAAAGTGAATGAGGAAACTATGACCTTGGTGGTCTACCAGTTGAAACAAAGCTCCACCTCCACAGAAGCCAGACCATCACCACTAGAGAGAACCTGAGAGTTGGCTCAGTGGCAATTCAAGGGAGACATTCTCAACAATACACCAGTTACCCTACATCTGAGCAGATCCATCTCAAACGGCACTGCCAGGAGATTGCCACAAAGTGAATGGGGGCCTAAACTTGTATAATTGAAGGGAAGATCGGCTGTGTCAGAAGACAATGCATTCATTGCATCTCAAAGACATCTGTCATTTGTGAGATGAGTTGACAGATGCAAGAAGAGCCCTGACCAAGGCCAGGACATTATCAGTTTGACTGCCACCTTAAAAGATATCTTGATTGGCCTAAAGTAGAGGCAAGGGAATGCAACATCATGCTTGCATTGTATATATTGTATAGTTTAGTATGTATCGCTGTACGTTTTTGATATATATTTATTTTATGTATATGTGTGTTATTTTAAAGAATTTCTTATTTTGTATTGCATTTTTAATTTTATACTTTGCTCAGAAAGATTTGTTTTGTATTTTCATTACTTAGTATGTTTTATTAAGAACTGTGTCAGTTTTTATATTGTTGTATGTTTTATTTTCTAAGGTTATGTTTCATGAAAAGCTGTATTATGTGATTTTTTTTATATGACTATCAAGAGGCTTATTTTGTTAAAGAGTATATGAATTTCAGCATGATTGAATCTGTGTATAGTGACTTGTATGACAAGTTCACTGTATTTGAGGTTTACTGCATAATTTTCATGTTGTACTAGGCTGAATGGTAATTGCAATTATTAACCAACATCAAAGGGGTTTCTCTTTATTATGTATTAATTAGTTGTTAAAGAGTTTGTGTTATGATATTGAATTATATGACAAAATTCGATTTTCTGTTGTGTTCAGTTATAGTTGGACTGTATCTCACTGTTAAAGGATATTTATTATGTATCTGTACAATGGTTTTGTGTTAAAAGGTTTTTCTTTATTGTTTCTTTCTTAAAGGGTTGTGATGTCTGTGTGGTGTGTTTTGAGAGGCAAGAATGAAATTATTGTACAGGTTTAAAGTTAAAATTAATTTTTAGCTTGAGGACAAGCCTAAAGTAGGGAAGAGAGAAATGTGTGGTATATGAATATATCATTTCTTTGTATTTTCTGATCATATTATAATATTTATTCTGTATGTATATATCCAGGCTTCCAAGAACATGTGGTCAAGAAAGAAGCATTTAAGTCCATTTCAATCTAGCTTTCTTCTGGCTGTCTCTGTTCCTTTAGTATTCTCTAAGAGATAATACTTGTGCTGTCTGTGGAGGTATTGCTGTAATATTGCACATTGTGCGAGGATGTCAACAGCACTGTCTTTCAGTGGTAGTTCAGGTGATATCTCGAGGTTGCAACCTCACTATGACTGAATGAGAACAACTAGTCACATGGGTAGAACTAGTCACTCTGGGTAAATATGATGTTTCTTGTGAAGTAAGGATCATTGGATTTAGTCAGTCTGCTGCACAAGCTAGAAAAGTAATAGGAGAGCTCATAAAAATGACAGTCTGTCATTCCATAAAAACAAGTATAAACATATTAAGTTTGGTATTATTAAGGATTGTTAATTTCATATTTCACTTTGTTTCCAGTATCTGTTTCGTTCATTCTCATGACTCAGTTATTCTCTTTACAACATAGATGAGAGTGTAACTTCTAGATATCACTCGAACAACTGTTGACGTCCTTGCACAAGGTGTAGTATTGTGCAATATTTCTCCGGGGTAGAAAAAATATTATCTATTTTGAGAACAACAAAGGTAACTGGTAACTGAGAACAAAATAAACGAAACAGCTTTCTCTACGATGTGTTACGTGAAACCTTTACAGGTAAAGAACAGGGAATAAATTCAGAATTAGTATTATCATATTATAAGAAGATTAAAAACACGTGGCTTATTCATAAACCGCACTTCCTATCTTCCTTATTTCAGGCTTGTCCTCAAGCCAACAATTAACCTTGATTTTAAAACCAATAAATTTTCAGAAAACCCTTGTATGAAGTCAAAATCTACACATGATAAAATACCTTTTAATATACCTTATTACATGAATGACAATAACAATAGTACACTAAGTGCAAAATCGCATACATTTGTTTTATGGGATTGTTAAAAGTGTATGTTATGCTGCTAATGTTTTTTTCTCACATCCAGGTCCAGTAGACTAACAGTTTCTCCAAAAATATAACGTGAAAAAATCTTTTATGTATTGATTGGTTTTTATT